CCAGTAATGAGTGGTGGATCATGCAGGTATTCAAAGCACACTGAGGAGCCCATAGGGAATGGTGGGGAAACACCCGAAATGTGGAGAGACGACCAAAAGCCACAGGAGAATCCAGGTGTCAGTAGAGGCTGAACGGTGCGTGGAAGGAATGTTGAGTGCAGGGTTGGCTCTGGCTGACAGAAGCCAACAGAGGTTCTGATACAAGAGTATTTATTCATAAGGCAGGTCCCACTGCTGACGGATAGATTAATGAGCAATTGTTAGGTGGTAGAGTAGGGCTGGGATGTCCATTAACGCATGCCCAGAGGGCCAAACTACGGAAACAAAGGAGTGGCAGACTGCACAGGCTCAGAGGTTCAGGTTCCCGTTCGGTTGACATGGGAGGGCGCTGCACCTGGATTGGCCCACCTAGGCCAGGTGAATTCAATTCAGCCAATGGGGTCAACCAGGGGTCGTCCACCACGCCTCCCTGCGGAATCCTTGAAAAGGCAGGAGCCCGGAGTCAAGAGAGACTTTTTGACTCTGAGAGTAGCTTCCAGGCAAGCTGTAAGTTCGGGAGGAGCCCTACGGGTGCCCATGTAAACTTGAAACTTCTTCTATCGCACAAACCAGGCTTCGGCGGGAATTCTTTCTCGCAGGGAGGCAAGGACCGAGGTATATTTACCTCCAGAGAGATCTAACACAAGTCAGAACCCCTGTAACCCAATGACTGCTCTTAATCCACGGAAATCCAAAGTCAAGCCCACCATCACCACCTGGATTCACAGCAAGCCTGTAGGACAGAGTAGAAGATGCCCCACAGGGTTTTGAGGCTGTCAGTCTTTCCAGAAGTCGACTGTAAAGATACATCTTTCTCCTGTGGAGCAGCTGGTGGGGTCAATTAGCAGCGGATTGCCTGAACCCCCGTGCCACTCAGCTCCTTAACTAACCAACCAGCCAGTCCTCTTCAAAAGCATCAAGGGCACGCGATAGTAATTCTTCAACCTGTGGGCTCAGATCGTTGAAGTCACAAGGATGTTAAAGATAGGATGAAATGGCCTCTTCAGTGCAGAGACGTGTAAACAGGCTTGAACAAGAGGTAAGTAGCCTGCTTCAGCTCAGGTGGTACTTTGGCCAAGAAACTGGCACTAGAGTCTAAATGTTAAATCTCAAAGCAGGTAGTTTTCTCCCCACCAAACCAATCTTCTTCCCTAAAGAAAGAGGAAGTGAGGTCCCTAACTCTGTCACAAGGTTAGCACAATTGCCAAGGTTTCGGTGACCCCATTTCTTATCAAGGAGACCTGCCCAAGGTTGGGCTGGGGAGGTCCTGGTGCCCGCGGTCGGGCGTGATGTGGTCTAAGAAGCAGGCTGTGCAGGCGTTCCACTGGCAGGCCTGGGTCTGGTGACAATGGGTCTTCGCAATGAACCGATACAGAATGGGGACTTGGGGTGGAGTGAGAGGGAGGCCAGCTCCTTCCAAGACTGCCCTTTCCTAGAGAAAGAGAGCCCTTTTTTGCTGTCCCTACCTCTGCAGGCCCCTCCCTAAACAGACACCCCCCCCTAGAAAGTCTGTTGCTGGGCAACCCACTCACAAGCCTCGGGGCTGTCTGTTCAGTTACCCCAGGCAGCAGCTCATCAACAAATGCCCACACAGAAGTGGAGGCAGGGATAAAAATAGCCTGATGGTTTGCATTCAAGTAGCTGAAGAGTGAGCAGAGTTTACAAATACGGAAACACACGGGGAGCTGCTGGTGTCAGATTCCCACACCAACAGCTTTCGTCTAAGTCAGAATTCTGGGCCGCTGAGTGGGCGCAGTGTGGGGACGGAGGGAGGGAGACACCGGAGGGGGTTCGCGTGGTGTCTCATTTTGTATAAATTCAGAGAAAGTGCCCTGTATTATGGCGCTACAGAAAACTCGTTGAATTGTGATGACCACTGTGTACCAGTGTGTCGGGACGGCAGGGCAGGGACTCGACGTGAAAGGCAAAAGCCGCACCGTTGGGAGGAGAGGAAGGGTTCTCGGTGATTTCCTTTGGACCCCTCGGGACTGGGCAGCATTTTCCATGGAATGGTTGTAGCTTTTCAGCTTTGGTTTCCTGGGTCCTCGATCTTATAAAACCGCAATGCCTCCAAAATTCCTGTTTGTCCATTACAGGAATCTCTAGAGCCTAAGTCCATTGTAACTGTGTTTAGCGCAAACAACAACACACTAGGCCAGGTTTGGGGGCCCTGCTTACCGCAGACTGCAGTCCCCAACAGCTGACAAGGGTGGAGCCGTTTAAAAAGGAGACTCCAGTCTGGTGTGTCCAGTGGGACAATCACCGAGAGTGCGCATATGAACCAAGCCAACCACAAGACAATGGATCTCGTATGCGCTTATTTGTTTTAAAATATGCACGCACATTCCTAAATCCAAACATGAAGCCCTCCACAGATGATTTCTGTTTGGGGGGGTCATTCAGAAAGCTGGGAAACACGGCTTCTAGTGGGGAAGGGGAGTGAGGGCTAGAGCAGTGGTTCTCAACCTGCAAGTCTTGACCCCTTTGGGGGTCGAATGACCCTTTCACAGGGGTCGCCCGATTCAGTGAACAGTCGCAAAGTGACAGTAATGAAGTGGCAACGAAAGTAATGTTGTGGTTGGGGGGTCCCCACCACATGAGGAACTGTATGAAAGGGTCACGGCGTGAGGAAGGTTGAGACCCGCTGGGCTAGAGGTAAGTAGGCCATCTTAACTTCTCATGTAGAAATGCCTGTAGTGTTGGGGGGGTGGGCATGAGAATGTGTATTTTGCTCTTTAAAAATATATCAGGATCGTTTTATAATCGTGAGCCTTGTTAACTTTCTAGGCACAGCTCTCAGGAGAGTCTTCCTGTAGTCCTATTCTTATCCCCAGGCTCAGAAAACAGACGATCTGATCGTGTCGGGTTGTCAAAATGTGGAGGCAACCGTGTGAAAAAACGAAGTATGTTCATCGTTTGGAGGGGGTGGTGCCGAGAGGGACGTATGTAAGTGTGGCTGAAAAACTGGGTCAGCCTCCCACCAGGCCTTGCTAAATAAAGCAGCGAGGAGGTGCTTCTCAGAGCGCCCAGTCTGAAGGAGCAAAGATGTTGTCGCTCCGGACCCCAAGAGCCCTCCCGAAGGCCTTGACATCACGTTAGCTCCCGCATCATCTGTACCGTGTTTGACCCAAACCCAAGCCACCCGGGTCTCCCTGGGCCCACGTCCGTAGTCTAGCGCTTCATGGAAGCGGAGCAACGTGTCTGGGTGCAGAAGACCTACAGGGACAAGCATCTAGCCTCCACGGGCGGGCCCTAACCTGGTCCCTCTGCAGAAGAGAGGGCGCTTTAGGGTCCTGACCACAGTTTGAAGGGCACGTTCCTTGAGCCTTCCAGAGTTCTCTTTGCTTTCGCAGATTGCGGGTTCTAACGAGCGAGAGAGGATGTTTCTGTGAACATGCATGAAATCTGACCCCTTTCTCCTTGGCGCTTTGGCCTAAAGAATGCTCAGACTTACTCAGACCCCGGGGGAAACCCAGACAGTGGACGGAGCAGCCTCGCTGCACGACCGGATGCCTAGGATGAGCGTTGAGGTTCTCGGGAGCCCACGGCTGGCAGGTTTGGACCCCCGGAGGCACAAGGGATGGACATGGGGCCTGCCTCGGCGGTGGTAGAAGAGACGGCAGGCAGCACGCTGACCAGTTAGGGAAGCAGGTGGACAGCTGACAGACAAGGACACAGCTCGGGGACGGTCCCCTCCCGGCTAGCCTTCCTTTCCCTCCAAATCACTACTCCGAAGACCTTGAAAGGGAAGTCTTTTCTTGGTGAAGTTCAACCTCCTCTGTGTTCCACAAATCCTCTCCTCCTCCTCATCAAGACCAAGAACGCGCTCCTAAGATTCCTGATCGCTGCCACGCAGACAGAGTTTTTTCTGTGTCTCAGAGGGTTTATTTCATTGCAAGCTACTCAGGGCTTTCTCCCTCACCAGCTCCGATCTTTGTTCCCTGCGGCAGCTTCCGAGTACCTCCAGTACCTCAATCCTATAATGAGTCACCGGCTCCAAAAAATCCTCCCAGGGGCGGTGGGGTCGTGCTGTGGGGTCCCTGGGAGCCCGGCTCAGCTCGACGGGAGTGGAGGTGGGAGCTCAGCAGCTCCAGCAGCGGCGAGAGCCGAGGCTCCTGCTCCTGCACAGCGTTCCAGTCTCAACACGGCTGACCGTCTAGGAAGCCCACTGGGGCCCTTCCCTGTGTCCTGGGGTGGAGGGAGGGGAGGGGAGTGGGAACTGACCCCGATAGCAGGCGGTTTTCAGTGAGTGCCTACAGAGAGGTGCAGGGCAAGACAAGACAAAAAGCCCAATTCTAGACCATTCTGGTGGGCGCTGCGTTTGTTTTTGACACCGGTGGCTCATGGTAGCTGTGGAGTTGATGAGCTAGGCTCTGACGGCCTTCTCCAGCGTGGAATTCCTTATCCCCCTTCTAGTGGCCTCGAGACGGTTAGCCAGGAGGCCTCTTTCTTGAATCCTCAGGAGTGGGCCACCACTGTGATTGTAGGGGGTGGTGGTGGTGAAACAACGCGCCCCTACTTCTAACACTGGCTCCCTCCCTGCCCTGGGGGTTTCGCCTTCAAGGCCCCCAGTTTCT